ACCAGGCTCTGGCCAGTGTCTCTGATTCGGGCCATCTTTACCTGAGGAAGACCACTGTGCCCACCACCAGTCCCATTTCGCGATGGGAAAGAGGAGAACACAGGTTTGTCTCTCCGTGGTGTGTAGCTGCAGTCAGGGGGCCACACCTCACCTTTGTGACCAGACACTCCATCACGTCTGCCCCCATGACTTCACAGGCTCAGAGCCCCTTCGCCTCTGCCCTGGACCCTGAGACCACTCCCAACCTTCCGCTCTCATTTCCTTCATCCCTTGCAGCCTTTGCCCTGAACGTTGCCCAGGGCCCAACGCCTGCTGGCCTCGGGCCCCTCCCATACCCGTGTGAAATAGGGAAGGCCCAAGAGTCGACCAGGAGGACGAGCCAGTTATACTGCACATCTGAATCGCTCCTATTTTCAAAGTGTTTGACACTAATTAGTTAGTTCTGTTAGCTCTGAGGGTTAGCAGCTTCCCTAACGAGATGCACTGACATTAAGTTACTTTCCTAATTATGTAAAACACGGAATCCGAGGCCAGCACAGGATCCCCCGTGAGGCCCAGGCAGGGCCTCTGTCCACTCTGTTCCTCAGCCCCGAGGGGAACAGGGTGCTGGGCAGCTCTGACGCCGCTCCTCTGCCGAGGCCGTCCTGTCCACAGTGGCCTCTTGTGTTGAGTGGATGAGGACCCGAGAGAATGTGTCCCCACTCGGGAGGTCACTCAGAGGACACAGACTGACCGTAGACCTTTCAGAGAAGCCAGGCTGGGTAGGCCCGACAGAAGTGGTCAGCGTGGTGCTCACATGTCCTCTCAGGTGATATAGGGCAAGAAGTCTGCAAGGGGCCATGAGTCATGGTCAGTGCGTGGACTTGGAGTAGCCCTTAGAGCAAACAGGCTGGGCGGGCCTGGGGGCTCTATCTGATGTCAATGATGTGGACCCCTATGTCCCCTGGTGTCCCAGGGTTGATGACAGGTCCTGCTTTCCTCCGGTCACCATCTGACACCTCACCAGGAAGCACCACCCACACCTCCTGGTCTGACGGCATGGTGCCTAGGCAGCCATTGCCCCTTCCTGCAGTCCGAGTCCCTCCTGCAGTGACCTCTGATGCCTCCTGCTGGGGGAAGGTCTCCTGTGCTCTCCAAGATGTGCAGGACCTCCTCTGCTTTCAGCTCTGTGATGTCCACGCAGCCTGGCTGACCGACCCCAGCCCTGTCTCCCTCGACCTCACCTGTGCGGAGGACAGGCCTACCACAAGGAGGCCGGGCGGGGTCGGAGCCAGGCCCACCGTCCCCTGCTCTGGCAGTGTGGTCCTCCCTATGGTTCTGACAGGCCCTTCCTCACGACGGAAATCGGCTGTGATTTTGTGATTACAAACATAATACATTTTTGCTGCAAATATTTAGGAGATATAGACAAGTACAAACAGGAAATGTACTAATTTGTGGCTTCCTTATGCTGCGTTAATCACGCTCACATCGTGCGCTGCAGATGGCCTTCTGAAAAAATGATGGAACACAGACACTTGGGTGGTTTTGAAACAACCCGGAGTGTGCTTTCAAAGCAGTAACACCTATCTTCTTTTCTGGCTATAGAATAAATACATATATTTTATAAAAGTTCAAAGCCCTAGGAAGCAAACAAAATCAAACCTACACATATACCCCAAAGCCCTTCTCCCCGAATCTTTCCACTCAGATATCTCGAAGTAAATATTTTGATGAACTCCTTCCCACAATTTTCTATTTGTACACGTGATCTGAAAGTCAGTTTTGTGGAAGTGCATTGCCCATGGCTGACGCTTTAACACAGGCTTCGTCATAGAGCAGCGTGTCACAGTGTCTCTCAGCGTCAGTAAACAGACTCCCTTCACTACTCGTAATGGGGGAATTGGATTACATTACACAGAAGAGTCATGATTTATTCAGTCCTCAGGCTGATGGCATATTTAAGTTGCTTCCCATTTGTTGTTGCAAACAATGGGACAAGAGCAGCCTTCTAACTGCAGCCTGGCGTACACACTCATGGACACGTCTCCCTAGCAGAGTTTCTGAGGAGTGGAAGCGAATGTCCAGTGATGAAGCAGTTGACATCTTCATAAATACAGCCTAACTGCCCTCCAGGAACATGCCAGTGTGTCTACCAACAGAATGCCCTTCCAAGAATGACACATCTTTCGCATTTTAAATCCAGATTACAATAAAAGTTAACCTTGTAGTTTAAACTTTTAGGAACATAAGGGAGGTCTTTACGGAATTTGGCTATTTGTACTTTTCCCTCTAGCTTATTTCTACTTTCTGCACTATGCCCTTGGTGGGTCGTGATCCTCCCCCCCTGCCCCCCGATTTGTCCTGATTTCTGACTGAACTGACACCTTTGAGCTGTGGTGATGGAGAAGAGCACTGAACATCCCATCGATGGCCAAGAGAACAAACGCATACGTCTTGGAGAGGGTGCAGCCGGAGTGTTCTCTGGAGGCAGGAATGAGGACTCTTCACCCACATACTTAGGACATGTTGCTAGGAGGGGGTATTCCTTGGAGAAGGGCATTCCTCGGAAGGGTGGAGGTTCGGTGAGGGACAGGAACACCCTCAACCAGGTGGACTGACACGGTGACTACTGCAATACGCGCTTGTGTCTCAGGAAGTGTAGGATGGTGCAGGATAGAACAGGGTCCAGAGCTTTTGTTTGTAGGGTCAATATGAGTCGTACTTGACAACACCTAACAACAACAACAACTGATTTGTAGAGACTTTTTATACCTGAAGGATGCAGGCTCTTGGTACTACATTGTTTCCAGTATTCTTCCTAATAATCCATTTTACTTTTGCTTGCAAGTGTCAAATCTGTCACACTTGTCCTTTATGGCTCCTGAGTTTTTGTCAGGTTTTGAAATACATCTTTTAACTGCAAAGTAGAGGTATACTTACCCTATGTCAGATGGATCTTGGCAGAAAGCAGAGTACCAGAGGAATGTCTATCTGTGTTTTGTTGACTTTGAAAAGGCGTTTGACTGTGTGGATCACAACAAATTACAGCTAATCTTGAGAAGAGTGGGAATCCCAGACATTTGATTGTGCTTATGCAGAACCTATACTTGGACCAGGAAGCAGTCCTCAGAACAGAACAAGAAAACACTGCATGGTTCAAAGTCAGGAAAGGAATATGCCAGGGATGCATCTTGTCTCCATAGCTTTTCAATTTATATGTAGAACAGATCATTCAGGAGGCTGGGTTTTGTGAGGAGAATTTGGCATCGGAATTGGAAGGAGACTAGTCAACAACGTGCGTTATGCAGATGACAACCTTGCTTGCTGAAACTGAGGAGGACCTGAGGTGCTGGCGAAAGGTGGTCAAGGACTGCAGCCTTCAGCATGGACTGAAGGTCAACATGAAGAAGAGAAAGTCAGCTTTTTTTTAAAGTCAACATTCTCAACACCAGCAGTCAGGAAATCAAAAGATCAATTGCACTGGGAAAATATACTGTCAGACACCTCTGCATAGAACTGCGAAGCAACTCTGTCAGTCTAGAGACCAAGATGCATCTGATTCAGGCATGGTCTTTGCAATTACTTGCTGTGCATCAGAGAGCTGGACAGTGACTAAGGACGACAGAAGACTTATTGATGCCTTTGAGTTGCAGTTCTGGAGAAGAGTCTTGAACATACCATGGACTCCCAAGAATATTTATGAGTCTGTCTTGGATAAGGTGAAATCAAGTTTCTCCTTGTAGGCTAGGATTTTGAAGCTCTGTTTCACATACTTTGGTCACATGGCCAGGAGGGACTGATCCTTGGAGAAGGACTTCATGCTTGGAAGGGTGGAGGGACAGACAGAGCAGGAGAGGAAGACCCCAGATGAGATGGATTGATACAGTCACTGGAACAATGGGGGTAGGTGTGCTGGAGTCAGTGAGACTGGCTTTGGACAGGGCAGGCTTTAAAGCTGTTGTACAGAGCTATGAGCTGTATGTGACTCGATGGCATACAACAACAACAATGTAAAAATTATATTTTTTTAAAAAGAAAACATTTACCACATGGAATGTCTATGTTTAGCTTTTTGAAAATGCCAAACTGTCTTCCAGAGTGGTTGTTATCTTTTTGCAATCCCACCAAAAGTGTACGAGAGTTTCTCTCTGTACTCTTCAACACTTATTACTTGCTGTCCTTTTAAACTTTGCCACTGCTCCCAAGATGAGGTGGTATCTCAATGTGTTGTGCTCCTCGTGCTGTCCGGGATGCCCAGGACCTGAACAGGCAGCTTCTGGAGAAGGTTCTGGAGGGACTGGCAAGTTTTCTTTACTGGCCCCTTGGAAGGCTCCGGCAGCACCAGCACCCTCCCGGGTCAGCATCCGTCTCAGCTACTGTCCACGTGGAATTTCTGCTGGTGGCTTCTTTCAGCGGAAAACACATTAACAAGAAACTTTAAAGACTCGTTAGCCACATCCTCTCATCAGTCAGAGCCCTGTCAGACGGGGCCAGCCCGTCAATTTTCACCTCCTTGTCCAGCGGCCACTTCCCACCTCCCCTCCTCCTGTGGCAGTCCCCAGCTGAGCAGCCCCAGGTGACACTGGCCAGACCTCCTCTGTCTGTCGGCGGCCAGAGCCAAGGGGCCCGAGATGGCTGGAGCCCCGGATTCTTCAGAGCCGGCAGTCTCCAGACGTAGGGTCTGGCTGCCAAGTACTCTCCTCGCTCCTCGCAGGCAGGCAGACAGACAGACAGATGGACAGACAGACAGACAGGGTGGCTATGGCCCACTGGAATCAGAATGTCCTTCAAGCCGACGAGAAAACCGGGTAGCAACTTCAGCTCCTTCAGTGTAAACTTCTAACCAAACGCCCTTGAGCAGGGACAGGCTGCACGTGTCCACACCGGCAGGAGGGACTCTGAGGGCCCTCCCTGGATGGCCTCCCTGAAGGACAACCACCAGCACGTGCGCAAGCTTGACTCCGCAGACTCGGCACGGAGGGCAGGAGCTCGGTTCCCCAGGAAAACCCTCGTTGGAGTCACAACACAGCTCCTTGCAGCTGCGTCCTGTAGTCCGTCCACATCCGGGCCAGTGACCGCACGGCCGTACGCAGCCACAGGAGTGGGGAGTTTACTGTGGGCTTTTCTTCTAATGGGGAGAGAGTCCGGTAGGAGAGGGGGGACCCCGGGCAGCAGGTGGCCCCTCGTACTCAAGGGTGTCTTGTTCTTGTTCACCATGAGTTCGTTCTGCTGGTTGTCGCTGGAAGTGGCAAGGTCATGTGAGGGGGTGGCTGGCCTGGTCATCTGTTGGCTGCAGGGACCTTCCCCAGTGGGCCTGTGCGCCACAGGCTGGCTGGGACATGGTGGAGAGGACGTGTGGTCCCCAGAGAAGAACACAGCTTCTGGCCACCACGATGCTTGTTTCCTTGCACCCCCATCCCTCTTTACTTTGTGGCCTGGGCTGCAGTCTTTCACTGGAGGCCACTGGCTGACCCTCAGGCTCATGTCTGTGAGACCTAATCCATACTGGGCACAGCTGGCCAGCAGAGGGGACAGGGTGCCCCTAAGGCTAGGGAGCACTTGGGGACAGAAGCAGGCACCCACAAGGCCCACACAGGCCCAGACCAGAGGTGTGTCCCCTGACCTCCCTGATGGGATCTCAGTGTCTGATCTCAGGGAACGCTGAAGATGAAGCAGTGACCTGTGACCCTGCTCTGTGTGGGGATGCAGCTCACCAGGATGTGCCCCTGTCAGAATGACCAGGAGGGCGGCCCAGGCCAGGGTGTGGTGGACACACCCAGAGCTTGAGATCTCCTGCCCTGGCTGCCTGGGGTATAGGGTGCCCCTGTGGGTGGGGACACAGCACTGGACAACCAGAGCCACATCAGGGAGACTGCCCCATCCATCTCTAGGATAGCCAGTGCCCACCCTGAGATCCAGTGAAAAGGCCTCCAGACTGCAGAGGCAGGAGGAGGGGTTTCTGATGGTCAGCTCTGCGCTGGAGTGCCCTCTATTGGGGACCACGCACAGAAAGGACACTCGACCGCAGGAGCCACACCTCATCCTCCATTCAGGAGAGTCTGCTCTAGACTCTGGACTGTGGGGACAGAGGACCGCTGGGATGGGGCAGACACCCGCTAGCATGTACCCCTAGGCTGGGCTTGTCTTCTCACACGGACGTCGTAACAGAGGTGCTGTCCATGGGTCTGCTGATGACAAGTCCACAAGCCAGGAGTGCTGGGAGGAATGACCAGAGCTGGCGAGTCCTGTGTGGTGCACATGTGAGCTCCTGCGGACAAGGTGTGGGCTGTGTGCACACGTGTGGAGTGGGGTGTCTGAGCACACCTGTATGGAGTCCGTGTGGGCCGTGTGCACATGAATGATGGGGGTGTGGACCATCTTCGTGTGCAGTGTCTGTGTGGGCCGTGTGCACATGTATGGTAGGGGTGCGACCGTGTGCATGTGTATGGAGTCTGTGTGGGCTGTGTGCACATATATGACAGGGGTGTGGACATCTGCATGTGTATGGAGTCTGTGTGGGCCGTGTGCACACGTATGGTGGGGGTGTGGACCGTCTGCGTGTGCACGGCGTCTGTGTGGGCCGTGTGCACACGTATGGTGGGGGTGTGGGGGTGTGCAGTTGCAGGCAGTGTGGGACCCATGGCGCTGAGACGCCATGTGCTATGATAAATGGAGAAGGCAGGCTTAGAAGACCTGGGCCAATGCTGCACCCCTCTTTCTGAGGGCAGAGAGATCCAGAATTTATCTGGCCACTCTGAGGAAGAGCACGCGATCCTGCCCTGCAGCTGCGTCCTGGCGACGTGAGCACTGAGATCCAGCAGCACAGCCATCACAAGGCTGCGTTTTCATCCCAGGTTTCTGACATCCACACACTCGGCCTTCCTTTGCTTACAGGTGCCAGGAACCCCCGAAAGACACAGCCTTCTCCGGCACAGTGGGGTGTAGTTTACCTCCTCACGCATCACGTGCTCTATCTGCTTTAGCCGCACACCTGGCTACACGTTCCCTCTCACTTTCTGGATACAGTTAATTACCAGGCTGATGTGACAGTGACATAATGAGGTGTCCCGGCTCAGGGCAGGTGTGTGGGGAAGGTCTCCTAAGCCCCCAGCCAGGAGCAATCAGGGGCAGCATGTGCTGTGGGGCCCCACCCTCCAGGGCCTGTGGCCTCAGGATCAGGCAGGAGGGAGGGCACCTGTGCGCGGTGGGGCCTGTATGTCTCCCACCTGTGGCTCTGAATGGTCACATCACAGAGTGAGGGTGGGCTTGGCTGAGCAGCCTCGGCAGACGGCACCATCGAGCATGTTCGAGTACGTGTGTCTACCTGGCACTCTGGCTACGTTCTCCTCAGTCAACACACCCCAAGTGGACTGGCCTTGCATGAGCTTGTGTGCCCCTGCTGGGCATCTTTGAATTAGTTCTGATTCTTAGTGACCCAAGAGTGCCCCGTATGCTCCCTGGCTGTCATGTTCCGGGGCAGGTGCCTGGTCTCTCTCCCATGGACGGTGCACGCACACAAAGGAGGTCGACAGTGGCGTGTTCAGGACAGAGCTTTAATGTGGCCCCAGCATCATGGCCATTTGGACATTATCCCTGCTGCACACACTTGGCCTTGGCTGTTACCTCCCAGTGCCCGACGTCTGGCTTCGGGGGCACCTGCGCCTCCACCTGGCTGGTCCCCAGCTGGGCCCCCTCATGGGACAGCAGCCACTGCTTTACCGTCAGGCCTCCGGAGTAGCCACCAAAGGTGCCCCTGCTGCTGATGACACGGTGACACGGGATGAGGATGGGGACCTGGAAGACAGAGCAACTGTCATCAAGCTGGACACAGCACCTGTACTGGGCGGTGCAGGGCCCTGAGAACTGCCAGCAACTCTTGGGCTTGGGTGCCTGGTCTTGGGGTCAATATGAGACACGCGCATGCAATTGACCAGCATTCCCGAGCTGTATGTCTGAGGTAAGCCTGTTAAAAGCACCCCTCCTGACCATGTCTGACCAGCACCCCTGGACAGTGGGACCACTGACCACACATCATAGCTGACCAGGCTGTGAACCTGGGGAGGACTAGGCACAGACCCTGGGCCCCAGGGGAGCTGGCCAGGTGCCTGTCTCTTGGCATCTCTGTACTTTCTGGGTGAGGGAAGTGGGCCCTAGGGAAAGGTGTGAAGAAACCTTCCAGAGAATTCATTTTACCAGGGATGTGGAGGAGGAAAACTCACGTCATTTGGTGGAAAATGGTAAAATTCACACACAAAATCTGAAATGACATGCATGTGTAAGTTTTGATTCATAGCTGAGATTCCCAAACATGAAGGAGGAAGATCTGATGGGACCTTTGGAGAACTTTGAGAAGGTCAGTACCACCAGTGTCTCCAAATAAAGTTATGTTGGAGCTCTGACTGCTCCTTTGTTGACGTACAAATGAGCAGTATATTTACAACTGTGGCCCTGAAACAGACACTATGTGGTCCCAAGAGCCTGAGATATTTACCGTGTAGCTGTCACCGGTCGCTGTGGGGACACTAGGGACCCACTGGGCACAGTCATGCCATGTCCACACCTCTACCTCTTATCAGAACAAAGCTCACATTCTTGCACACCTATTCCCTGTCACGTTGGCTCAGAACTCAGGAGGGAGCAACAGTAGGGTATGGCCCTGTCTCCCTGGGAGGCTCAGCAGGCACCCCGTTTGTCAGGGGGGCTCAGCTCCAGGTTTGTTCACTTAGGGGGTGCACCATGTGGCCCTAGTGCAGGAGTCTGTGGCTTGATGGCTGTTGTGAGAAGAGGTGCAGCCAGAATGCTCCTTGGAGGCAAGGACTGTGGAGCAGCTTCTCACATATTTTGGGCATATCATCGGGAAAAGACATCATGCTGGGGAAAAAGGAGGGTCAGTGAAGGAGAAGATGACCCTTCGTGATATGGACTGGCACAGTGGCTGCCACAGCGGGACTGAGTAATCCGAGATGAGGACGGCACAGGAAGGACAGGGCTCAGAGCTGCTGTTCACAGGGTCTCTGTGAGTCACAGCTGACACAACAGTACTTGATGACAAGAGCATTGTGAGTGGCCCCAGAACCGAGAGATTTCTCCAGAGCTCAGTCTGTGACCTTCTTTTCCTTAGTGCTTTCCCTCTTCACTGAGCCCTGGCAGGTGGGTGACACATTTCATCACTGCCCAGGCCCCACGTGGCTACTCCATGGATGACGTCCACGCACTGGCCGCAGGCATAGTCACAGCTCAGAAGTGGGTGCAGAGTGACCTGGCAGGACCTGGCTCCCACCCGCCTTGTCCCACTCTGCAGAATGTGCCCATGTCTGAGAGCCGTGAGGTCTCATCTCTAGGTTGTCCCTGCCCCCAGGTCTGGTCCCTGATGCCTGGACATGTGTGATGAGTCAGTGAGCCAGTGACACTACACGCCACACCCGCCACCGTGGAGTGGTGGTGCCCGCCCTGAAGTGCCTCACTGCCCTATCCCCTGTGTCCTCCAGCCTCAGGCTGCCCAGGTGGCCGCTTTGCATAGCTGCTCAGGTTCAGGCTGTGGCAGCCACTGCCCTCGCCACGGGCACCACCGTCCTCACCAGGAGGAGATGGGGGCTCAGCTGGTGAGGGCAGATAATCTGGCTCAGGAGGTGGAACTCCGACTTTGCTCACAGCACAGAAGCCTGTGAGGATGAGGGCCATGTTGTTGAAGAACATTCTAGCAAGTGTCAGTGCAGTGACAGTGACAAGGTGATGAGGGCCACCATGAGCACAGTGACGGTCAAGATGACAGTGGTAACTGGATGATGGTAGAGCTGATGGTAACGATGGTGATGATGCCAGTGGTGATGGTGACGGTGAGGCTGCTGCTGCTACTGGTGATGACGGAGATACGATAGTGGGGGTGGTGGTAACAGTGTGACAATGTCCACGTGGTGACAGTGAAGGCGGTGATGATCACGATGATATTGGTGGTGATGGTCATGATGGTGAAAGTGCGGCTGATGGTGATGATGGTAGTACTTATGTAACAGTGATGATAGCCTGACGATGGTGAAGACAGTGATGGTGACGATAATGGCAATGATTACAGTCATCAGGATGGGAAAGGTGATGAAAGAGTGATGGTGATGATGGTATGATGATGGTGATTGTCATGATGGCGGTGATGGTGATGAAGATGTTACGAGAATGGTGGTGATGTTGATAGTGGTGATGATGGTGGTGGTGGTGATGGTGGTGAGTGATAGAGGTGATGGTGGTGATACTGATAGTGGTGATGGCAGTGATGACGATTACGGTGCTGATGGTGGTGATATTGATAATGATGTGATGATTATGACGATGGTGGTGGCGATAGTGATGATGGTGGTGGTGATGATAGTGAAGATGATTATGACGATGGTGGTGATGATGATGATGGTGGTGATGTTGATTATGGTGATGGTGATGATTATGGTGATGGTGGTGGTGGTGGTGATAGTGATGATGGCAGTGATGATGATTATGGTGGTGATGATGGTGGTGATGTTGATAGCAATGATGGTGATGATGATTATGGTGATGGTGATGATTATGATGACAGTGGTGATGTTGATAGCGGTGACAGTGGTGATACTGATAGTGGTGATGGCAGTGATGATGATTACAATGGTGGTGGTGGTGGAGGTGGTGATGATAGCGATGATGGTGGTGATGATGATGATGATGGTGGTGATGATGATGGTTATGATGATGGTGATGATGATG